TCAGGTTGGAACTTAACCCTCAATATGGTGGTGGAAGGTGGGGCCTTTGGGAAGTGACTGGATCCCAAGGACTGTGCCCTCATGAATGGATTGATCTATTCATGGAGTAAAGAAAGGGTTGATTGTTCTGCTCCATCTTCACACCACCTTTTAAGAGAGTGTGAAAAAACTCCCTCTACCTCCCTCTTCTCAGGATACATGTGATCCCATTTAGGGACCATCATGATAATCCACAATAATTTCCCTAGCAAGATCCTTAAACTAATCACATCTGCAAAGACCCCAAGTGTACGCAAGGCAACACTTACAGGTTCCATACCTTAGGACTTAGTTATCTGTAAGGTGGCCATTGTTCAGCCTACCACCATCCACCCTCTGGCCCCAAATATTCATATCTGTCCCACATGTAAAATACACTCACCCCATCCCAAGATCCCCAAAAGTCTCAACCCATTACAGCATTAACTCAAGTCCAAAATCTCACCTAAATAGCATCATCTCAAAAGCCCCAAGTTTTATCCTCTAAATCAGGTATGAGTGAGATTCTGGGTATTATCAATCATGGGGCACTCCTAGATATTCACCACCTAAAACCCTACACACGAATGTTTATAGCAGCTTTACCTATGTTGAAAAAGACACGAACATCCTTCATCTGGGAAATGGATAAACTGTGGTATACCACAAAAAGAACTACTACTCTGCAATAATGCAAGCAACAAAATGGATAAACTGCAAATGAGTTTTAGTAAGTAAAAGAAGCCAAACTCAAAAGGCTATATACTACATGATTCCATTCTTATGGCATTTTGGAAAAGAAAAAATGTAACAAAAGAAAGGACATCAGTGGTTCTTAGATACTGGTGCTAGAGGAAGAAATTGACCACAAAAGAGCAAAGAGAAATTTTAGGAGGTGTGTTCAACATCTTGACTGTGGTGGTTACAAAATTGTAGGTATTTATCGAAACTCGCAGAACTGTACAGGAAAAGGATGAATTTAAAAGCATGTAAATCAATAATAAATTTAATAAAAATTGTGAAAGAATTTCCAATTTTCCACACTTTTACTTTTAGCCAGTGTTCCGTAAACACATGCTGGCCTGGTACCAAAAAAATTTTTATATATTATACATTAAATATTTAACATTTTATACATATAATTATTATTTTGGTGGCTGGCCAGTACAGGGATTGAACCCTGGACCTTGGTGTTATCAGCACCACTTTCTAACCAACTGAGCTAACCATCCAGCCCCTAATACATATAATTTTAACATATATATCTATTGTAAGTTAATACATATCTTAATATATATGTATATAAATATATATCCTGATGATAATAACAGAGAAGAATATGCCTAATACAAAATATACAATCTATAGAAACATTTACACTATTTTTTGCAGAGTTCATCTTGAATAAATCTACAAATTATGATCTGATCCAAAAATGCCTAAATTTGACAAAAAGGGTAAGAAAATAATGCAGTAATTAAATATAAAAGTTGAGGAAACAATTTTTAAACCAATGACATTTCTACAAGAGAATGAAAAGGGACTCTAGTCACTCGTCACCTGGTCCAGTGATCCTGAAATCACCTTGAAGGATTAATGAGTGTTATAGACTGAATGATGTTTATGTCCCTTCAAAATTCATATGTTGAAACCCCACCCCAATGTGATGGTATTAGAGATGAGGCCCTTGGGAAGTAATTAGGGTTATATGAGGTCATGAGATTGGGGCCCTCCTGGTGGGTTTAGTGGCATTATAAGAAAAAAAGAGAAGAGATCCACCTGCACTCACTGAAGAAAGGCCACATGAGGACACAGAGAGAAGGCAATCATCTGCAAACCAGAAAGAAGGCTGTCACCAGAACCCAATCGGGTTGGCACTCTAATCTCATACTTCCAGCTTCCAGAACTTGTCAGAAAATAAGTTTCTGTTGTTTAAGCCACCCAGCTTATGGTATTTTGTTATGGCAGCCTGAACACACTAAGACACAGGGCACCCTTACATAATAGGCCACACTCTGAGACATCCTAATCACTCACTCCTCCAATATTCCCAGCTACTTAATTAATTCTTCAATTTCTAGAGGTGGGCCAGACCGTCCTTTGAGTTTAACTCTGATTCTTTTTCTTGGGATATAGATTCTTCCGCAGAAAAACTTCCACAGAAAACCAAATTTGTGGCTGCATCAGCTTAGTTACATATGTTGAGTTTTATGGTGAAATCTAATTTTACTCCGTGGTGTGTAACTGTTTTTCTCTGAGTTGCAAATACTTTCTAGCTTTGCTTACACTGAGTAGACCTCTCTTTTCATGGAATCCTTACTCTATGAAATCCTGTTAGAAAACCAGTCATTCTGCCAACTCTGTGTCACTGTAAGAGAATGAACATCTAGAGGCTACGTTTAATTCTGTGACTTCAATAATCCTACTAGTCTCTAACACACACAATTACTTTCTAACCTTTTCATAGAGTAAAGAAGTTTAGAATACTGTTTAAAAACATATAAATATTTCCTTATTCTTTTTATGTGCAAAAATATGTTCTGCCCTCCTAATCTTTCTTAATTTAAAAGGTTACAGAGACCGTATATAAAACCAGTAGAAATAATTGGCCAGATTCACTTTATAATTGCTATAATTTATAAAAATTGCAGATAGAACTACCATCTTTACCGCTTTCTTCGCACGTAATTTTTTAGTTGTATTAATATAATGGTATTAATCTCATACTCTTTCCCTGTTTTCTATCCCCTACTCAATTATGAAGCCAATGCTTTTCATCTAAGAATTTAACAAGGAAATGCAGGAATTAGCATAGAAATACCTTCACAAATATGTAATTCCTTTAAATAGCTGCAGTAGTGTTCTGACGAGGTCAAGCAAACTATTTGAAGCCTCAAAGATGCCATGTTTTCCCTACCACATTTCGTTTGAAAAAACTGTAGATTTTCAATCTTCTCATCATGATATGGACTATAATTATTCTACAACCACCCACTTTAGTAATAAATGCTGGCAATGTTAAAACAAGTGGAATACCTTAAACATAAAATTTTAAATCTTACCACAAGCCTTTTATTCTTGATTCACAATCAAATCCTTTTGGCGGTTAATCTCAGCACTTACTGTCATTTACTTCAATAAAACCAATCTTAGATGGTTGTAAATGCCTTCCCTACTTCTCTATGTGTCTTAAGAGAAACCAGAGGAGGAGCCGAGATGGAGTTCAGTCACTAAGATTATGCACAGTACAATTAGGCTGTATTATATACTAACTTTTGTTAGAACATCCTATTTGTACCTTTTTCCTATTTCTGTTGAACTCTGATAAAGAGTAGGCACTCAATAAATGCCTACCATCATGGTGATCATGATAATGAAGATAGTAACACTGACCAAGCACTTACTAGGAACTGGGTACTATTTCACTTAATCATCATCACTATAATAATAAAAGTAATGTTACTATTTAAGAAATTGGGGGGGTGGGGGTGGAGTATCAAATTAATGCAGCCAGGATGTGAACATAGGCAGTTTGGCCTTAGACCCTAGGTTCTTAATCAGCAACTCCAAATGATAAGACAAAATTACTTTCAAGAATCAGTATGCCAATGTATTACAAGCTTCTTAGTTGCAAACAACTTAATCTACTCAGTCTAGTTTCAACAAAAAAGAGAACTTTAAAGATTTTTAGACAGCGCAGGGAATCTCCTGCAGAACCAATAGAGTTCAGAGGCCTCAAAACCAAAAACAGTGTCCAAAGCACAGCACAGGAGTGCTCCCATCAGGCAGTATAGCGATCTCCAGAATCCTGTCCAGAGTGATAAGGGCTCCCATGGGGGCCTCCAACAACTGGCCACCCACACTGCAACACTTGTCGAAAGAATGGATCCTGCACACAAAGGCATTTTCACCATTAAAGTTCACCATTCACTATTCAAGTTCAACTTGGCAGAGCTGAGTTCAACATCCAAGAAAGTTAACATGGAAATATTGGCTGTAAATGAATACATTTTTAAGCTATAATACAAAGTGAAAAAAAAACATATAAATTTATATTTAAACTATGTTTATAATTATAGTTTTAAGTAAGCCTATGCTCAAAGACTAGAATAGAAGACAGAATTGCAAAAGATGTAAGGGTTTGGGGTTACAGGTAATTTCTTCATTATTTTTTCTGGTTTTACTGTTATTTATATAAAAAATAAAAATTCTAAAGGGAAAAATATACATTTTCCTTGACATGTATAAGAGATCCTAAAAATATGACTGGGTTTCATGCATGCTCCCAAAATAACACCACCCAACCAAAAATCAAAATTTACATCCTGCAGAAGCCCCCACTCTATATAACTACAGCTTACACTGTATTAGACTGTGTTAAATTCTCCCCAAATTTGGATGTATCCAGCACAGTGGCAGCTCCAATAAACTGTCTCAATATTTAGAAAGGCCTAGTTTTGATATAAGAAGCTTAAATTCTCTTCTCAACATCCAAGTGACCTCCTGAGGCTCACACTCCCTCCCCAGATCTGGCTTCCCTGATAAAAACACTGAGGTCATTCAAGACAGGACCCATCTGGGGAAGTGCTCGCTGCACCTGACTAGAGGCACCAAGCTCTCCCTGGTTCCCAGTGGAGCTACTTGACCTCACCCTGGGGTCTGCCCACGACTTCCAGACCAACCCCAATCTCAGGGAGGAAGGATGGGAGTATCTCTGGCCAAATACTCTGGAGCTGAGGTTAAGTCCCACTTGCTGTTACGCTGGCTCCTCATATTTCCTCAAGTCTAGGCCTGTAGGCCCCAGAGGTCCAAGATGCTTCCCAGCTTTTTTGTGTAATGGGGATCTTGTCTTTAGAAACCTATCTACCATTACAATTACTCAAGAATTTGCTCTTGCTGGGAATCTGTCCCCAGGCCAAGGCCAGAGCTCCCCACAACTGCTATGAACACTGCCTCTCTCTATTCCATACTAGCCCACCTACCTACAAGACACCTGCTTTGGTCTCCTTCCAACCTTTCCCATGCCAGTTAAAGAATAGAGAGGGAGGTCTGCAGGCAGGTCCATCGTCCCCACCCTTCCCTCAAGCCTGCTCCATTCTACTGAGGAAAACTGGGTCATGCCCAGCTTTGCCCTACATGTGACGGTAAAGATGCCAGAAAATTAACTTTGAATATAAATCCTTTCCATTAGGGAACACATACTGAAATCTATTTTTAAGCATAAGCACAGTGAAAAAGATCAAAAGCAGGTGACACTTTGATGAAAGAAACAAACACCTTACTTTCAAAGGTTTTTATCTCCAAGTTTTCCACACATAAAATTCTAACCACTTATGGGTAGTCATCATTTCAATGAATTGTGTCAAATGAAAAGGGAAAAAGAAAGATACATTCACCATGAGGCTAATTTATGGGCTCACTAAATCCAGCAGACTGAAGGATTTCACTTAGTCTATCATGAGTTCTTAGAGCAAAGCAATTCTATTAAAAGCCCTCGGGGGGGAAAAAAAAACAAACAAAGCTGAACTTGTTAGGTCAGCCAACAAAACCTTCCTCTAAATATTATAATTATATCAGATACTACCCTTCCCACAATTTTGAAGAGCTTATACACCATGGAATTTGCTCTTCTAAAGAGGAGGACAACAAAATTAATTTTTTAAATATTTTTTTTTTCAAAAATTAAAAGAACAAAATAGTTATAATACTTTAAAATGTCATTTTATTATATTCTTGTAACGATACTGGGCTATCAGTTGGAAAAGGCTGCTATTCCTATTTGCAGACTAGAAATTTAGGGTTAAGAAAAATTACCAAAACATACCAGAAGAAACTAGTTCCTAAAGGAGACAGTGTCTCAAATCTCAATCTTGCAGCTCCAAGTCCTTGAGACCCAGGTCCTCCCAGCTCACCTTTCCACCATGTCTAAGAAGCACCTTCATCCTCGTGGTTAAGAGTGGCATCTGCGTTCCTGACGACGAGATGAAGAAAGAGTCTATATCATGCCGCCCGTATTTTTCTGGACACACATCAATTTTCCTTTATTGATATTTCTCTTGTATTCTCTCACTGCTTCAATGTTATATTCAGTTGAAACACGGCAAAGGCCAATGTTCTCCTTCAGAATTGCTTTAGAATAAAAATATGAAAGAAAATACCTGGGAATTTCCAAAATGATTACATTAAACCTGAACTGTACCAAAATTCTGACAATTACACAATCCCCCAAGATGAAAACCAGAGGAAATATAATATGTTCCTTCAAACCAAAACAAACAAAAAATTCAAACACACAAAAACTAAGAGACCCTGTGTTTTTAAAAAATCTAAATTTTAAGCATTCAAAAATGCACAAAGGAGGATCTTTTCATTGGCTTTAGAGGGGACTAGAACTGCTATTTCAAAGGCTCTCAGTAGAACTGCTTTGGTCTGAGAGTTCATGAAACCCTTCAGACTTATAGATTTAGTGAGGACATATAAATCTCATGTTGAATTTTTATTTATTTATTTTTTTATTTTGTCAATATACTACCACCACTTTTAGAATTTCTGAGGTTAAGAATCAAGTCTAGTTAATTCCTGAAATTGGGTTTTGTACCTGAAACTGCAGAATCATTGTTCTGGCGCTCATACCTCATCTCTGTTTTTTTTTTTTTTTTTTTTTAAATTTTATTTTGTCAATATACAATGTGAATGATTATTGTGGCCCATTACCGAAACCTCCCTCCCTCCTCCCTCTCCCCCCCCCCCCCCAACAATGTCCTTTCTGTTTGCTTGTCGTATCAACTTCAGGGAATTTTAATTGTTATGTCTTCAACCCTCGCCCCACCCCAGTTTTGTGTGTGTGTGTGTGTGTGTGTTTTTTAGCTCTCACAAATAAGTGAGAATATGTGATATTTCTCTTTCTGTGCCTGACTTGTTTCACTTAGTATAATTCTCCCTAGGTCCATCCATGTTGCTGCAAATGGCAGTATTTCATTCGTTTTTATAGCAAAGTTGTATTCCACTGTGTAGATATACCACATTTTCCATATCCACTCGCCTGATGATGGACATTTGGGCTGGTTCCAACTTTTAGCTATTGTAAAGAGTGCTGCAATAAACATTGGAGAACAGGTATACCTTCGACTTGATGTTTTCCATTCATCTGGGTATATTCCCAGCAGTGGGATAGCTGGGTCATATGGTAAATCTATCTGCAATTGTTTGAGGAACCTCCATACCATTTCCCATAGAGGCTGCACCATTTTGCAGTCCCACCAGCAATGTATGAGAGTTCCTTTTTCTCTACAACCTCACCAACATTTATCCTTCACAGTCTTTTGGATATTAGCCATCCTAATTGGGGTGAAAGGGTATCTCAGTGCGATTTTGATTTGCATTTTCCAAGTGCTGAGTGATGTTGAGCATTTTTCATATGTCTGTTGGCCATTCGTATATCTTCCTTTGAGAAATGCCTATTTAGCTCTTTTGCCCATTTTTTAATTGGGTTGCTTGTTTTTTTCTTGTAAAG